AAACAAAAGTTTCAGAGAAGAGAATAAGGACAGAGAGCGTAAACAAACTTAACGGACAGTTTCATTCAGTTACTTATTCGATAGTATCTTGATTATGCATCAGGCAAAAAAATCAATATTACAAAGTGATCGATTAGTCTGTAATTTTGTATCTACTGCATAAAAAGGGTACAAGAAAATAAATGAAGTTTAACAGTTGTGCTACAGTTTTTTCTCTTTTGTTGCTTATTTATTTGGACACTCAAAAGGATACCGAGAACATATGCGCTACACAAGTCATTCGATTTATTTGTGGGTTGTGATACTGCTCGCGTGCCCAGACCGATCAGGCGGTTTTCTTAGAGGGTCTCAACCAGAGCCTTCGACCTAAAGGTCTGACCCACAAGGCAGTGGAGCAACATCAGGAGATGCCTTCCATGGTAGCCGGTGACCAACAATAAATCCATACGCCATTTGTTCCCACAGGATCCTGGAGCCCATGTGCATCACTTGTTTGTAATTAGGGCTCTCCAACTGCCCTAAATGGACCCTCCATACCCAACAACCTGGTTAAATCGCTGGACATTTGCTTTTGTCCTCTAAATTTCATAAACAACATCAACACTGTGAGTAAAACGTCTCTGGTATGTATACATGCCTAATACAATTGGGTAGTTTTGTTGCTCGTATTTTTTCTATTTATTCAGGAAGTATATCCAGTTAATAAAATATACAAAGATTTATTGGATTTAGCAGCTTATCTTTTATATCCCAATGGACGTTTAGTATTTTGGATACCAGTATTAAGATCAGAATTTATTGGTGTAAAATCTTTACCTCATCATCCTAGTTTTCGTTTGCTTGCAGCTTGTGAACAGGTTAGTAAATTATTTGTTGTGAAAAAATTCTCCTCTTATTAATTGTATGCTTATAAGAGATACATATTTTGATGGAGTTTTGTTCTCTGAGCTGGATGGTTTGGTCGTGGAGCTTTCATCGTTCTTCTGAACGACATCATCAGCACAAACTTCAGATAGAAGTGAAGTGTTCGAATTTCTCCATATGCGTTTCACAGCTTGTTCTGTGCACCTAGACGTTGATTGGTTCTTACTTGACCTTAAATTTGTCAATGGCAAATTTAATCCGCGATTTCAAACTTACTGAGACCTCAATCTATTCTACAGTAGTAATGTAATTTCCATAGTAGTTAACAACTGCTACTAAGTTGTGTTCATATTCTCCACCGATTTAACACAACTCAGATTTTTTTGCTATATCCCAACGAATCGAGAGTTGTATTTCTAAAGTTTCGTGACTTACTATGAGCCACTTCTTCAGAGTAAATAGCCGAATTCAGTTAACAAAATTTTAATAACAGAGATCTAACAAAAAGCTTCCCACTTCATTTATAGTACTATTAAATCGTTCGTACTATGACCTATCGTCCCTCGAATCGGATTCATCTGTATTAAAATGTTTGCAAACAGTAAACAATATTGCCTTCATCTTCTTGCTGCTAAACAAGTTTTGTACATCTGAAATGTGTATTGCAGACAAAGTACATTCACACAAACGAAGATATTCTTCGCTTTATTTAATATATCTATTCATATTTTTTGACATACTTTGATTGTAATTCATAAAACGCTCGTAAATTTTTACTTGTATTATATATCCTCAGTTGTTATACCTTTAGATAGATTTAACAGATGTTAAGTTTGTTAGATAGACGCTCCTCACAATTTGCTAGACGCTTCTAATAAGCTTAAGCTATATCTACATGGCGGATTGAATACAAGAGAAAAAGCGAGAAGTGCTAAAAGAACGTTTTACTCAAAGATTAGTTTTCGTACATAAAAGCGAAGCTATTCATAGCTGCACACAACCTTGAGCTGTTACGACTTTGTGGAACCATACTAAGTAAAGTAACTGTATGGATAAATATCCAGTCAAAAATATTACACTTGGCTCTTAACCTTCTAGATGTTCCTAAGAAGATTCTACTCAATGCTGATGGGATAAGCTGTCTCTAAACGTTTTATGAGCTCTTATGAACTTTTCCGAGGGATATTTTGGAACCCCCCAACTCTAAATATATTAAGGTTATTTCTGAACTTACTATTACTCACTCAGTAATTTAAGCATAACTGTGTAGTGGCTCCTAGTATTGTTACTTTTTCACATTGTTCTTATTCTTTTAAATATCATATAGACTTTAAATACACGCAACTCAAGGTACATGGTAGTAATGGCAAAGTTGGATACTAATCAACAATTAAATGATCTATCCAATGAAAATGAAGATTTAATATTTCCAGCTGTTTATGCCAAATAATGATATTTTTCTAATGAACACCAACCAGTTATATTTCTGCTCCTTATATTTCTCCAGTTGTAAATGACTATTGATTTTTGTATATTTTGAATAGAATTAACATTTCCATGACAATGAGGTTGCTGTCAATATTCATTCAGATAATAATTTATTCTTGATTGAAATTATGAACTGATTGATGTTAGATCACCATTGAAAACCTGGAAGCACTGAAAGGCTGTTTCGTCCTATTGTGAGACTCCTCAGCAGTGCACATCCACGATCCTGCTCGTAGGATCCGAACCCAGGGCCTTAAGTTTCACGCGCGAACGCTTAACCTACTGAACCACTGAGCCGGCATTCAATGGTGTTAATGTCCAACCTCAACCAATCCACGATATTGCGCAACCATCTTCCATTGTACTTAGGTAGACACCTGTTTCTACCCGACACGGATTAGCTCCACTAGTCAGTATATTCACTTATGAACATAATCGTTCTAAGTGCTGAGTGTTTACGGAAAGTTTCACTTTGGTTATGTTGCGATTGTACGATTTATATATTTGAAGCAGATAAAATTCAAGGTTTCAAATAAATAAACCACACAAATGATGTGATGGTATTGTGAAGAGAATTGATGAAAACGTCTTGAAATCTGTAATGAGTTAAACAAGAATATTACTTATTAAAAGATTCAGTTAAGTTACCAGTAAAATCATGGTAGATTTTTCTCCGTCTGTGGGAATTCAACTGGGGAATAATATTGAATCGACAATTGCCATGCCTTCACATCAAGAATATTTTACATAGGGACTGTATATTCATAGAAAATACACATGCAGTAAATAGTTGACATATTCACATAACTTTGGAACATGAACGATAGCCATTTTTTGTGAACGAATCATTAGTAGAATAATCACATTTTTGTTTACTAGCCCCTGCATAGATTTTTCACTTATGGATTAACGAAATTGATGAGACTTACGGAAATTTACCATGTATCCATTCAATAGGAATTTTGAATAATTATTTCTTCTAAAGGAATATCTTTTGGATGTCTACGAGTAGTTCAGTCGGCGATTTATCATATTCACTTAGTTTTGGCAACATATAAGCAATGTGCTCGAGGCAAATGCTAACATTTCCGTCTTCTGTTGGCGAACTGTCATCTGATTTTGCAACCTCAAGTGGTGTCCGTCAAGGCTGTCCACTTTTGTTTAACTTGATCATAGACCTACTGCTGGAAATAACGTTATCGTTATCTGAATATTAAGTAATTGCTCTTCTATCAGGAGGTCAGGTTATCGACTTAGAATACGCATGTGACATAGACTTGTTTGGTGACGATGCTGATAAAATTCAGTCTTTTGGTAGCACTGAGCAACAATGCTAGGATTTTTTGGATAGGTTTCTCCTCTAAATGCGAGTTGTTGCTTCAGGACTGGTCTGCGTCAACACCTGAACTAAGGATAGGGAGTGAAGTAGTCGAACGCGTTGACAACTTCACTTATCTTGGAAGTCTGATCAGCCCTAATGGGTTGGTGTCTGAGGAAATCTCAGCACGGATTCGAAAAGCTCGTTTGGATTCTGCCAACTGACGTCACCTTTGGCGAAGGCGAGATATCTGACTATCAATTAAGAGACGAGTATACCGCGCTGCAATTCGTTCTGTCCTAATTTACGGCTGCGAAACGTGGCTATTAAGAGTAGAAGATACTCGTAACCTACTAGTATTCGACCACAGATACCTTAAAAATATTGCTCACAACTGCTGGGATCACTGGGTAATAGTGAGGTTAAGCACAGGGTATTAGGGAATGATGGTAAATCAGTTGATGAGGTTGTGAATCTTCATCGACTGAGATGGTTGGGCCATCGTGTTGTGTATGCCTGAACACGGATTACTACGACGCGTATTTCTGACTAGTGTTGGAGACGGTTGGATGAAAATAAGGGGTGGCCAAACCAAAACATGGCATCAGTACACAAAGTTAAAAAATTCTCTTCCTTACAAGAAAGCCCCCAAATGCCCTGGTACGGTCGAGGGTGAGAAGAGTCAGCTCTCCCTCTCGAAACGCTCTCACACGGACATTCACAGGGAAGTCCTATTCACTGCCTTCTCGCGGCATTACTCTTGTCTACGAATTGAGAGGACGAAAACCCAGTGCTTGACTCTTTAGCTGGATTGATAGACACGGAGAGTCCATCTAGAGAAGTTGGAAATCCTTGATTCCAAACCAATAGTGCACATGGGCTCCAAGATCCTGAGGGAACAAATGGCGTTTGAATTAATTGTTGGTCACCAGCCACCATAGGACTGTATCTCCTGACGTTGTTTCACTGCCTTGTGTATCAGACCTTTAGATTGAAGGCTCCGAGTGTGACCCTCTAAAATATCCACCTGCTTCAGTCTGGGCACTCGAGCAGTACCACAAGTCACACATAAATCAAGTGAGTTGTGTGGCGCATAACTATTCAGGGCCTCTTCATACCAATATTTATATTTTCAAATAAATAAATATACTTTACTAGAAAGAAAATATGCCAACAATTTAATTAAGATCATATTTACATGAACACTAAATGATAATAATAATAAGAATCATCAGTTCTGTACAGATTACCAAGAAAGTAGTATATAAATATAAAGAGTTTGCCAAAATATTATCCATTTAGTATCAATATTATTATTATATGTAAAATATTATTTCAATAAAGAAATAAGTTTCTCTTCATATTCCAATGGGATATCAATAGAAGTTATTGGTTTCATCGCTTCTTGATATTCAACTAACAACTTGTGTTTTCGTGTCTATAAAAAATGGGAACACTAGCATGAAATAGTGATTAAACTTGAGGATTTAGACTAGGAAGTTAATGTTCTACAAATCTATCCATCATTCTAATACAAATTGGATTACAGGTTGTTGTCTACATGATGTTGTACCTACGCCAACTATATCTTCTATGCCTAATCTTGTCTGGTAACGTTTGGAACTGTTACTACTTCTACTACTATGTGATACGTCATGTCAATTGAATGCTACTTGTTATATCTGGTTGTCGTTGATTGTTATGTCGAAAACTCTTATCACTTATACTCCAAACGAGAGACCTCTGCAAATTCCCACGACGTGAAATCAAGTACAGGAAGACTGGTATAAGTAAAGATTTATTAACCCCAAGACACGACGACGATGAAGAAGCTTAGAAAGAGCCGAAGATATTCCATCTAATCAACTTTTGGAAGAATATTCTAAGATCCCTACGTGTAGCTTCCTCGAAAACCCGTGTACCGTCCTCACACTATGGGATCTCAGTGTGACAGATTAAACTGACTCACATATATGCCAAGTTCTACATCCTTTATGAATGAATGACTGAACAGTCTAACCATACTTCAAAACTCCCAAGCTTAAAATAATAAAAAGTATTGCACACTGTTCTACTATACTCTTATTCTTCTACTCTGGTAAACATAACATCATGGAAATCATAACTTTGGCAAAACAAAATCGTCAAGGAAGTACAATCACCATACACATACCTTTAAAACTGATGGTGCAATATCGCTAATTTCTCTGTTACTAGATATTGATAATAAAGAACGACAACTATTTGTATAATCTCTATTCTCATATGTAGAATGAGATGTTGATGCTTGCTGATGACATTCAGATTTCATTGTTTTAGCACATAGTAAATTTCTATCAATTGGTGCAATAATACATAATGGACTCTTTTCATTGACCTGATTTTTTCAAAAAAGAAAAATTCAACAATCAGGAGAATATCATACTTGTGTGAGTTATGCTACTGATGTCGACAAATATAAGTAGTATGTATCATCCATCAAAAGTGGATTGCCTGGAGGTAAAAGTTTATGAAAATAAAACGACAATAGAGAATGATTGGTGTGGAAACGAAAGAACAATGAAGTCTAAGACGATTGATTGGCATTCTGTAAATGAAGTATTTACTGTACGGTTTTTAGATTTCACAAAGTGATTCTGTAATTTTGTATTGAATTACATCCCATTGTCCCCATTTGTGTTCCCGTTCACTACAGAATTACACTTAATTGATTAAAATGAATATTCAATTTTATACAGGACTGTATTGTTTAATACTTAATGAAGAGAGTTTGAAAAAGGATAACCCCACTGATTGGTAGACAAACAGTTTAACTACTAACGAGCCAATATAACACATAAGTGAAATGAAACAAATAGGTTTAACTGTTTAAAGAATGTTAAAAGACTGTAACATATAAAGCTGCGAAATTTGATTCATGATATTTTGCTTAGTTTCCATTAAATGTTTCGACATTTGAATTAGGACAATACCATAAGGTATGTTGATAATAATGTCTGAGTCAGAATTGGGACAATTGCAATCTAAAAACGACTCAGTGCTAATTCTATTATTACAGTTCAGAAGTTTATCGCACAGTTGGACATAGGACAGAAGAACAGTACAAGAAGCCTAATAATTTGACAAATAAACGATATTCAAAATGATGTTAATGTACAAACAATTGTCAACAATATTTCAATCAAATTACCATCATTTTTCGATAATTCATGTTTTACACAAAACGGAATTTCACTCAGTCAGTAACAAAGTAGAACTTCGTACATACGTACATCAGCTCGAGTTGCCATACCACATCAGCACAGAGATTCCGTAGTGGTAGAGGTAATAAGAGTATAAGGAGTAATCGGAAACATTAAGGTTTGAAGATGTTTTTCAATGAGTATAATCCAGTAAAACAGATTTGGAAAGAGATAAAATAAGGAACATGAAGAATTCAGAAGATTAGAATTTGGGAGAACACAAAAAGTGGATGCAATTGCGCCATTGCAAACGATTTTGATCCATGTCATTCAGGGTCTCTAACCATCGGTTGATATCATCTCACGGTCCCCAACCATGTAGCCTACACCTGCCAACAAACTTATTACTTATTGCCGCTGCCTCTTCCATCTCTCTTGTTTTCGCTACCCACCACTGTTCTCGGAATTTATGGGAATTTAGTTAAGTAAACTTGACATACTATGTCTTAGAAAGTTTTTCTAATTCATATTTGAAGACTGAAAATTTTAAAAGTGAACAAGCTGAGGAATTCCATAATGGGACGAAACGGTCGTTTAGTGCTTCCAAGTTCTCCATAATGGTCTAGCTTTAATTGATTCATGATCTTAACTATTAAAATTACTAAAATATCAAAAAAAAACCTCAAATTATATTTGACATGCAAAAATAGCTTTTGTTATTCGAATGGTATTATTTTTTTTATTCTTACGTAATTAGTATAGATTGCCAAATGATCGCCTGATTGTCCTTTATCACGATAATTAACAGTTGTTTAATTCAACGTATGAATATTGGTGAACAATCTCAACTTTATATGGTAATTTCATCCATCACTGATCGTCTTGATTCTTATAATCGATTATCGTCTAGCGCTAATAATATAAAGTCAATAATTCTAAGCAAAGATGGATAGTGGCTAGCAGTGGAATCCAGGACGCGCGTTTCGTCCTGCTTGGGACTCGTCAGCTGGATGTACTTGCATCTCAGAGTTGATGTTCACTCTGGGACTCGAACTCAGTACCGTGTCCTGGATTCCATTGCTAGCCACTATCCATCTTTGCTTATAATGCTTGTAAATTAAGGTAATATCGAGGCATACGCACAGTATGCATATATACCAATAAGAGACTGATCAATTTCAGTCCAAAAACATCAATGGGAAGATTCACGTAAAAAACAATACCAAGTGAGTCAATAATTCTATTTTTGATAAATCACTATACTTAGCATTATGTAGTAAATTTTTAAATTTACATATAATTGTGGAGTTGTAATAAAGAGCTAAATAAGAGATAGAATTTCATCGCCCAGTTAGTAATATTAGAATATTCATTGTCTGAATAATATACTGTAGATTACATTTGTTTAGATAACATTTCATCATATAAAATACACTTTCAAAGGTTTGATTGAATTCCTATGACTACCATTACGTGAGTGAAGGAGTAATTAAACACTTCACAAGTCAGTGATCATACTACTAACACAGTATTTAGGTTTCACGAGGACATTCTTGTGTATAAAGTCAGTCATTAATTGCTGTTTTTTATTTAACCAGAAATCTGCATTATCGTTCCCGCGAGCGTCTCCCTGTACAGTTAAAACTATTAACAACTCAATCCTGGCTTGCTTAATAAAAGTAGTAATTGAAGCTGACACGAAGAAATGATTCACAGTAACATGTCGTTTTAATAGCTATCTGCCTAAATCCGTCCGACTGAGTTCTTCAAACGTCTAAGATAATAGCTATTGGGATAAAAATAACCGGAATTTTGTGTTAAAGCGCTTTACCAACCTAGACCAACTTTCGGCCCAATTAGTTAACAATTATTTCAATGACATAACCTGAATAATGTACCTATAAATTTCCTCTTTATATTTTCATAACTTAAATTGATTGATACGTATTATGCATTGAAAGCAAAAAAGTTCACGGAAAAGAATGTATAGATTACTATTATAACGCTCGCAGACGTTCCGAGAAATCATACTCATCTATATGATAAGTGTGATTTGTCATTTAAACTGGAATGACAAAAGAAAATACTGACTTCAAAATGTTACACTGAAAGTAATTAGAAAAAAACAACATTACCGTATCCATAAGGAATTGATGCAAAATATATATCTACCTTAATAGTGTCAACTTCACAATATAATGAATGGGGAATCTGGAGAAAATTCCAGAAGTCTCGATAAAACAGAAAAAATAAACTATATCTGATAATCTCCATTATCCAACATTTTGTACCGCAGTTATATTATTCAACGGACATTCAGTCAAACGAGATAATTTCCATCGTCGAAATGTTAAGTAATGAAGGATTTTAGGGTACGAAAATATGTATATTACAATGTTATGAAAGCTAGATCTTTTAAAGTAAGCTTATATTTCATCATTCTCACCATAAACTGAGACATGTATGGATGGAAAATATACTATTTCTACAGTTTTTCAACACGCCAGAATAAGGTTGAGTTTCCGACGATCAGATTCGGTTACTTCTTTAACGAAAGTGATCAACGTCTGTTATGCAATTTCACCGTATCAACACTAAAACCAAATATGAAACCAACTATAATAAATTAGCAGGAATAAATTTGCTAATTTCTAGGTTAAACAGCCAAAACCAGACTAAGAAAGTTGATTACACCTTATTTGTTCGGGTCGTCATAGCTTTAAAAAGCATAAAAACATCAGGTCAAAACAAAATCAAACGGAATTAGGTTTATGGACGATACATAGTCGGAAAGGGTTCAGAGAAGGATAAAAGGTGAGTGACTTTGTTGTTGTTAACAATATCTGTCGCCAATTTTAATTAACATATTCAACTATTAGCATCTGAGTTTCTCAAATTATCGTAAAACTACACCTTATCTATTAGCGTTAGTTTTAGTTTGCACCGGTAGGTATCAATCAAGTATACTATTAACTCGTGATTTTTCAACCATTGTAACCCATGATTAAACTCACCTCAGGAGAAGTTATTTGTAAGGATTCTTGGGAATTCGGGTCATCAGATATGGACGGAATACTACGATAAAAGGTCGTTTGACTTTCGTTGTGTTGTATTGACTCGTAAGATGTTTTCGGCTTTGGTTGTTTGGCTTCAAAAACCCCTGACTGTATCTGAGGAGTTAGACGAAATAATCCAGCTAAATAACTAGGACCTTTAAGAGCCATCTCACGATCTAATGATTTCTGAATATGATTGACACAGTTTAGAACATCGAGAGAGCACTTCTTGTTTTCATAGCTCTTTATATATAATACATTATAAGCTGTCATTTGTGCACTATCAAACAAAAAATCAAGATTATTACATATGCAACTATAGTGAATGAAACTGCATCTTAACTGTATATATGTAATTGGTGATACATTATACCAAAAACTATTTTTGAATAGTTGGGTAAAAATCAAGAGCATTACGACGCAAGTTCATGTGACTTTCTTTGTGTTGTCTTGACTAATGAGACGTTAATATTATTGTCCGTTTACTCAATAATACCTTAGCTTTGAAAATGTTGGGATGTATTCAAGGGATTATACGAAGTGGTCTAGTTAATAAATAAAGATCATTTAGAAGCTTTTCACAAAATAATGACTTCTCAATATGAATGACAATCTAAAACATTGAGTAAGATGCAGACTACGTGGTTGGCGTCCACGTGACTATCGTAACCAATGGTTGGAAACTGAGTGACATGGCTCAGAACCGATCACAATGGCGTCGGTGTATACACTCTCTGTGTCACCTTAAAATAAGAGATTAAAATTACTTTATATCTTTCTTTCTACGAAATAGTAATTTATTCCTGTACTCTATCCTTACTTTCAATCTTTTTTCTATATATTAGTACCATCGATGTAACTACTTTTACGAATTTGGCGTTCATCCTGTGCTTGGACCGATGCATACACGTGCCTGGTCTTACGTTGTACATGACTGACGTGACTCTATTCTAAACACCTGAGAAATCTCAAGTGTCAAGTGGATGAATATTCGTAACAACTGAATGGCTGTTTTTTTGTCAATGATTACTGATTGGTAAAGTAAATGGAAATATAAATACCAACCCAACAAGCCTATACATCAAATAACAGACAAGCTATTTTGATCCAAGTTTACTTTTCAACAAATTGTCAGATATCCAAGCTCAATTTAGAACCTCAAAGATGAGAATGGGAACACCTTTCAATACTTACCACAGTGATTTATCTCCTGCACTATATCCCCTACGAAGTTACTTATCGCGAAAGGTTCCAGTGTTTCCGTCAAAGAACAAGCTGATAAAATACTAAGATTCCCGTTAGTTTTTTTACAAACAACAAATGAAGTTTGAAAACTACATGCAGAAATATTACACTAGGGTGATGCGCAACAACTAGGTTAGCTTGTCAAGTTTAAACTAAGCAAAAAAGTAAAATTTAAATAACAGTATACATAAGTGTATAGCTAATAACAAAACGTGACAGCATGAACTACCAAGTGTAACTTTACAGTTTTTTCCTCACCTAGAGTTCAAGAAGGAAGAGATGAATTCTGCATATTTTAATGTTGTTAAGCTACTTTTTTTAATATTCTACAGAAGAGACCGTAAATATAGGAGTAAAAATGGTGTTTTATTTAGTTCAGGTTCATACTGCGAAATATCCCAAGCTGCCGATTTTGGGGAAGCCGCTATAGTAAATTTTGTGGAAATGAGACCCAACCCCCGATATTTCCATAAATGTTGGGGAAGGCTATTTCATTTTGGGGATTTCTCCAAAGTTACCAGCTCGGGATGATTAGATTGTCAATAATTTAAAGAACTACTGCCCCCATCATTTAGAAAAACGTAACTTCAATACACAAATAACTACCTCATCCTGTCTATTCAGTGTCAATTTGGGTTATTTCAAGTTAACATTAAAGGCCATTATCAGAGTGCATGAGACTTTTCGCTATCACCTGCAACGATAGATGATTTTATATAGACTACATTGTTTTTTGATGCAAACTTTATTAGTCCGCACGATTATATGGAGTTTTGGCATTATATGTGACGTGATTTAGCTACTCAGACCGTAAGTTTTCACACTTATAACTTTATTTTAAACATTATAATTGGTTGAATTTTCTCAAATCCAATTTAGTATTGCTCGGATGTTGTCTATACATCATGGTCTTACCATAATCTCTTAACTATATGCACTAATCGGATCAATCAATCAACAATATCCATACTAAACTTGTCTGTCTAAACGTTACTAACTTTACGAGAATCGTGATCAAGTCGAGCGCAAAATTACAGCTGTTGAAAGTGCCTACAAAATGTTCAATCAACTTCGTGACAAACAAACAAATACTGTCAGACCCATAGTCGTTAAAAACATAAAATTATGTACAAAAATGCACGAGACAAGAAAACATTTGACTTATTATCAAGTTCTTTAATTATTTAAAATGGCGAGCTCTCGATAACTAATCTGTCGGTTTTAGTATATACATAGACCAAACTCTTTATTCGTAAAAGTACGGTAGATGCAATGCATCTCTATTTTTTACAGGCTTTTTAAAATATCGATCTCACAAGCTTTATCCATGAGCCCAAAGTGACAGGTATTCATTTTTTACACCAGTGGACATGTCTAGATTATGCGCCAACAACCGACTATTCAAGCTAAGGTAATAAAGCTTTCCAATACTTGACGACTCGGTGGGGACACATGTATAACATGAGTACTTTATTCGTTATTGGCTTTCAAACTAGCGTCCTATGTCCCTTGATTCGTCCCAGTTTGCTGTGAAGGAAGAGAATATGTCGGGTCTAAAAGTTTTAAACTACTCTCTGAATTTTTATGAATATAACCGAACTAACTTCTAAAAAAATAGGTGAGATAAAAACATTGTCAGATGTATTCACACTGTCATCACCCCTTTCATTCACAGGTAAGCTTGTAATGGCATTGGACTATAACCATACAATCCACACAGCTTAACATGAGACCACTCGAAAAATAGATATTCAATATTTAACGCGGAGAAATACCTAACGATGGAAAATGCGGTAATTGTTAAAATGTGGTGAGTTCGTGTAGACGATGATGTGACTTCCACGTAAGAACTTATAGATTAGGCGGTTATATCAGGACAAATCTACAGTTATAGGACTAGGTCTATTATTAGAGCAGTACTAATATCATAATTCCACAAGCTTATTTGTCATGACTTCAGCATGCCTGAAATTCCTTGGTTTCCAGCCAAGGAGCCTTAACGTTACGATTCATTTATTGAATGCCTGGAGCTTGGACATTGGAGTCAGTATGTCAGTAGACCTACCAGACATTAAAATATCTCAAACTTAATCTTTACCAGTCGCCTAACACCCAATACTGCACATATTAGAAAAACGTTTCCAAGTAGCGATCATATGTAGCATTAATATAAAAACCGCGACCGGTAGACGTAAAACTGTAACACTTCTTAGGAAATATCGCAAGGTCGATTGGAAAAGCGTCTAAAATTATATAAGAAATACTGGATAGGGAACCTCACATACTGTAAAGAATGCCGACACACTAACTATTATATTTTATTACAACACCAAAAAATCTTCAAAAAATCGCACCTTTAGCATACTGAGGACCTGGGTTTTCTAAAGATTTGTATATACCAGTCTCTACGCGAAGAAGCCTTCAAAGACGTTGTACTCGATTCCACAATTTCAATGACTTTTCCTCTTTAGTTACGGTCACATAAATAAATGCCAGACAGAGATAATACATGAACAAAAAACTGCCGCGCAGGAAAAACGTGCTATCGATCTTAATAATAACTCATCGACACTTATAAAACTCCTTCAAAAAAAAGTTAAACGTACTAAATCGAAACAAGCAAGTATACGACGATCCTAAACTTGTTACGGAACTATTCAGTGAACAATTTGTGACAAGCTCCATTCAATCGATTTTTCAACGACGATCCGTAATGACGTTATCTGGTCGGCATATAGCCATTCCTCACGAAAGCTAGCTCGTTAATCTCCAGGCTGTATTCCTATTGAATCTTTCATCCGGTTCAGCAACACCCTGGTGAAAACCTTTCTTTGGATTGATAGTATTGTGATTACTATGTATTTGCCTCAACTGCTCAGATGTCCTTTCTTTGTTACCTTGGTGAAGCATCCGTCTCTCTGGTCTGTCGGCACTCGTTTTTCCTACCAGATGTTTTCAAACCGTATGTGTGACATCTCCGTAGCTACCACTTTGTCTAACCTCAGTGCTTCAGTTTGTAATTTGCCAGGCTTTACTGTTTTCCCACTGTAATTTTGTCTGATGGTTGTCCTAATTTCTTTGATCGTTTGTGGAGTGACATCCATAGGAAGGTATGTAGATACTGCATCGATGTCTGGTAGATTTGGTGGAGTTAACCTATTCAAGAATCCCTCGAAGTAATCCATCCCTCACTGTTCCTATGCTTTTGAATACGACTGGCTGTATTACCTTCTTTGTCTTTGACTGATCTCTCTCGTTTACCATGTCTCCCTGCCAGTTTCTTTGTTGTGTCATATAGTTCTTTCATATTTTTTTCTTTTGCAGCTATTCTACTGTCGTTGCTGACGCTACTTGTCGGCTACAAAGCCCCTCTTTACTTACTTGCTTGTTTCTGTGTATTTAGCTTGTGCCTTGACTTTCTATGTTTCAGTTCGGCTTTTGTTAATTGCTATCTTCCTATTCTTCTCTTGAATCTTGTCGATATTTAAGATAAAGATCCATTATTTACGATGATGCTTGTTGTGAACCAGAACCACCAGATTCGTTGATGTTGGAGCCTCTTTGATCCCTTACGAGCTCTCCTCCATAGTAGTTGTCTATTTTCTGAGTATATCGTGTAATGCTTGGAAAATGTTGTTGAAGGCTATCTTGAATTCAATAAGTATATCAGTATCTCGAAGGAAGGCTTAAGTTAACTTTTTTAATGCTGTATTACCAGTTGTTCAATGTTTCTTTATTAACAGTTTCATTTTCGCATCCAGCAGGGAGATGAAAATCTGAAGCTATGTTGGGTACTTTCTTATTCCTTGCATTTTTCATTAAAGTTTTACGCTCATAATGAAGGTAATATGATTAATTTTCATCTGTTTACGGTGATTCGGAGAAATTCATGTAGTGTGTTTGTTCGTGAAATATTGTGTCACTTTTATTCAATTTGTTGAATGCACATAAATTTCTCAAATCTCTCACCATCCCATTTCCTTTCTCCAGTCTATGTCGTTCTATATATTCATACCCGGTGTTTTCACTCCGACTTTAGAGTTCAGGTCTCGCAATGGTATCGTCAAGCCGCTTCCTGAGCACTTGGCTATAATCGGTTTTGGTATTTGTACGAACTAATGAGGTTTTCGTAAGTCGTTCCCCGGTGATTAAGAATTTAAGTACAATTCGTTCATTTGTGTTCATCTATACTTTGTGTACTGATGCCATGTTTTGGTTTGGCCACCCCTTATTTTCATCCAACCGTCTCCAACACTAGTCAGAAATACGCGTCGTAGTAATCCGTGTTCAGGCATGCACAACACGATGGCCCAACCATCTCAGTCGATGAAGATTCACAACCTCATCAACTGATTTACCATCATTCCCTAATACCCTGTGCTTAACCTCACTATTACCCAGTGATCCCAGCAGTTGTGAGCAATATTTTTAAGGTATCTGTGGTCGAATACTAGTAGGTTACGAGTATCTTCTACTCTTAATAGCCACGTTTCGCAGCCGTAAATTAGGACAGAACGAATTGCAGCGCGGTATACTCGTCTCTTAATTGATAGTCAGATATCTCGCCTTCGCCAAAGGTGACGTCAGTTGGCAGAATCCAAACGAGCTTTTCGAATCCGTGCTGAGATTTCCTCAGACACCAACCCATTAGGGCTGATCAGACTTCCAAGATAAGTGAAGTTGTCAACGCGTTCGACTACTTCACTCAATATCCTTAGTTCAGGTGTTGACGCAGGCCAGTCCTGAAGCAACAACTTGCATTTAGAGGGAGAGAAGCGCATTCCAAAGATTCTGGCATTGTTGCTCATATTAACTACTAAAAATTCTGGTTCTTGTAGTAATGGGTTGACGCAATCGACAATGAGTAGACTGAAGGAAAATTATAACTGCATTAAGCGTCCAAATATATCTGAGTACATCAAGAATTTCACGATTTTTAAAAGCGTTGATGTTCGAGGTACAGTGACGGATGTATTAGCGTTTGACTTTTAAGTTGTCTAGTCATTGGAGGTGTGTTTCGTGAATAATAGAGACTTGAACTAGCGCAATTGCTTTGCTGATTGGCTCCAGAAAATGATGTGTTAAGTCAAGGTAACATGGTTGTCATCATTGTCAAATGCTTATAAGCGTTTTCTTTTCGGGAATTTCCTATATCGAAAGTTTTTATACTTGGAGGGCAGATAACAGCTTGCCGTAAATATGGTCTATCTGAGAAAATACCTCGAAGAGAGGTAACGTACACACAATATGATCAATTTCATATGTGTGCTTGTTGTATGGAGTCAACTAATTGATGCGCGTTAGTTATCATTGTCCTTGATTACTTATTGTCAGTAACTTAACGATCGTCAATCAGTATTTCAGATTGGATTTACGTTAAACTTGACAGTTAGTTTAATTTGGGCTCAGTGTTATCTCCCTAATCCGCCAGTTTATTAGCTAGAGCCCTATCATGTTCAAGATCATCCTAAAACACAACCTTCGGATTCTTGTCAGTCAGATTTCCCAATTTATCCAAAATGAATGATCGAACCGTGAAATCTAGTTCTATAGGGATTGTGTTTCCTCAATCTGAACTACTGTCATTTTTGTTTAGCATCTCTAATTATTATTCGCCGACGCTCAACAGCAGGGGATCGAGAGGACTCACTATGACTGAAAACGTTTGCCGAAATTTTTTAATTTCTTCAATAAAACAACAGGATATACTACTTTCTAAAACATTAAAAAAACAGTTAAAGTACACTGAATATGTGTTCACAGTAGAATTAATACCATTTAAAACCTTTATATGAATTTGATTAACATGCTGAATCGTTAAATTTACAGAGAAGCCGATGGGTACAATCTTTGAATATATTATATAGCTTTCATCGAGTGCGCCTGCGTTTCTACATCGACATTATGAGCTACTGATGTCAATAATTCTACGCTCATATTTACACTAGATATACTTCAAAAATATAAAAATACTGATTCCTAACTTCCTGCTTCGGTTTGGGCACCCGGGCAGTATCATAGCCCACACACAAATGAA